CTCTATCTCTATGGACTCATTCACACCTCACAACGGCCCCAGGAGGTGGGAGTCATCCTTATACCCATTTTGTAGGTGAGGAAACTGAGGCCTACAGAGGGTCGGCGACTTATCCACAGTCACTCAGATGAAAGGGACAGAGCTGAGTCTCTGAAGATTCCCGGTGGGTGAGGAGTGCTAAATGGATGGGGGGAACCCTAGAGCCCCGAAGCCCCTTCTCTTGGAAGGATAGACAGATGCGTGGCTGTATCTGGAGACTTACTGTTGTGGCCACAGTTTCTCCACAGCATCTGGGTGAGCAGGACATTGGATGAGGAAAGCACAGGGGATTCCGGAGGCTTCCCTGGCCCAGCTGTCTTTGCGGAGCAGTGCGGCCTCGGGGGGAAGCAGTGAAGGGAAACTGGTTTCATTTTTATTTTTTTATTCTGGTGACATATAGAAAAGAAAACATTTGCTGTTTCAACCATGTTTACATGTACAATTCATTGCAGCGATTACACTCGCCGTGTTGTGCGGCCCTCACCGCCGTGATCCTTGCATCGCCCTTCACAGAATCTCGGTGCCCCCGAAAGCATGACTCCCCCGCCCGCCTCCCCAGCCCCCGGTAGCCACTGATGAGCTTCGGGCTCTGTCCATTCGTCTGTTCTGGATGTTCCCCGTAAGCGGCTTCCTACAGTGTCTGCCCTTTCCGTCCGCCTTCTTTCACTCAGCGTCACTCTGTGAAGCTTCGTCCGGGTCGTAGCGTGTACGGTGCTTCGTTTCTCCTAATGGCTGAGTGATATTCCTCTGGGAGCCCTGCTGGCGCAGTGGTCAAGAGCTCGGCTGCTAACCAAAACGTCAGCAGTTCAAATCCACTAGGCACTCCTGGGAAACCCTATGGGGCAGTTCTACTCTGTCCTATAGGGTTGCTATGCCTTGGAACCGACTCGACGGCCCCCTAACAAGAACAATTATTCCATTGTGGGGATGGACCCCATTCTGTTTATCCGTCATCTGCTCATAAAACACTGGGTTTTGATGTCATGTTTTCACCAGCAGAGGGAAGCTGGGTGGGGGCCGGACCCCCGTTCCCGTTCCCGAGACTCTCTGTGAGTGAGAGGTTGGCAGAGAGGGGATGGGGCTCTGCCTCCCGGCCTCCTCTCTGTCGGCCTGTCTGTGTTGCCATGGGTGAAAGTCTTCAACGATTTCAGTCCTGGGGGATCTCTCCTGGCAGCCTCGGGGTGAGGTCTGACTTCTGCTGGCCAAGCCCTGCGGAGCCCGAGAGTCTCACTCCTGGTGTCAGCCCAGCTGGTGGGTCCTGGGGGGAGCCACGCCACCTCACTGGGCCTCAGTTTGCCCCCTGTAGCCCCCTCCCTCCGTGTACTGGTGCCGATAAAGGCACCAGCAGATTTGGGAAAGGGGTGGCTGTGGCCCATGATGCTTGATTTGGCTCCTGTGTGTGTTAGATTTTGAAAAACAAGTTGCCAATAGTTAAACAATTGGGAGATGTCGTAGAGAGATCCAGATTTCTGGTGGCTCTTGAAACACGGAAGGGTCTGGAACAACTTGACCCATGGAACCTCAGGACACTGCTGGCCAGAGAGGAGTGGCAGCCACCGCCTTTGCAGGAACATGACCCCTTCACCTCTCCAGTGACCTCCCCGACCCCGCCTGGCTGGCTCCCGAACCTTGGACATGCTGCCCGCTGTGACGATGATGGTGCAGGTGCCAGGGGAGCAAAGATGGATGGGTGCTTCTCTGCTCCGGGAGCTCACCACTTACTCAGTGCCCAGGGGAGGGACAGGAGCCAGGAAGGGTGTGGTTACTGGACCCTGGTGGCCAGCAGGACAGTTCACGGTTCAGAGCGTGGACTCTGGGCTCGTCTTCTGGGTTCAAGTCCCAGTGTCGCTACTCACTGGCCATGTGGCTTCCGGCAGCTTACAAGCCTTCTGTGCCTCAGTTTCCCCATCTGCAAAATGGGGCTAATAATGGACTTACCACCTTGGTGTGAGGGTGGAATAAGCTAGCATGTGCGGATGTTTAGAACTGTGCCTGGCGTATGGTCAGTGCCATGGAAGTGTCAGCTGCTGTTAATAGGAGGATTACGAATAGTATTAGTTCTGTGTGTGTGCTGAGCCAAGGGGTTGTCCTCCACCCCTGGGGCCTTGGCTGCCCCAGCTGGAAAGAGCAGGTGTGCCAGCGTGTGAAGTCCTTAGCACAGGATCACGGCTGTCCTCTGCGGAAGTTGGGGTGAGGCCGACTCCACCTTGCCCACTCACCTTGGAGGAGCCCTAGCAGGCGCCCTGTGGGGCCAGGGGTCAGGTCTCTCATCTCCTGATTTTGTTCATGAGAACCCCGAAGTCTGCGTTTTATATTAAATCTCCCGAGTGTTAGTTCTCGACGATGAATTCAGCTTTTCTTTTTTTCAGTGCTGTGTAGGTCAAAGCAGACAGAGATGTGGTTACAGAGTCACTCGCCCTGTTGTACAGATGGGCAAACTGAGGCTCAGAGAGATAACTACTGACCCGAGGGGCCCAGCAGGGGGTGACTGGGACCCAGCTGCCTGCAAATCTGCTCAGGGACAGGGGACTAGGCCTGGCTGGCCAGCCCTGGCCCCCACCTCCTCCCGAACTTCTGCGTGTTGGTTCTGGCTGTTTGAGGACAGTGGGGGTGGCTGTCCTTGTCCTGGAAGGCCATGTTCAAAAGAAGGTGGAAGGTGATGCAAGCCACCTCAGCTGCCTCGCTTTGTGACATTGGCCTGCGTACATTCATCTGATGGCCTAGGGGCCGGGGCTGGGCAAAGAGGGCCTGTGAACGCAGTGGGGGCTGGTGAAGCAGCCGACTCAGGTTGGAGGATGTCACTGTGCCCCTGGACAGGGCACGGCAGAGCCGGAGGCATGTAAAAATGGCTTGGCCGGAGCGTCTGACTTCCTCTAAACTTCACGAGGGGGAGAGAAAATCACCATCAGCATCAGCTCAAAGCTGATTCCTGTGAGGGGGTGGTCAGACATACCTCCTCTCTTCAACCTTTTTACCAATTCTGACACCAGCCATCCCTCCCACGGCACTCTCTACTACTCTGCTGGGTTCGATGATTCCTTGCAATAGCCACACAGAATTCACAGACCATACTCACAGGTGTACAGATGAAGCTGGCTGAGACCATGGCCTGGGATTTATTAGGGGAGTAACAGGTTACAATTCAGGACCAGGAACAACTCAGGAGACAGTTCTTAGATCAGGACGGCCTCTTCTCAGCTGTGCCCACAGGCAAGCCTCTCTCTGGCCCTTGGCCCCTCAACCCCTCGGCCCGGCCTCTGCCCTGCTTGGTCAAGTGTTACAAAGCTCTTTAGCTCTGCCAGTAAGTGCCTGGGGTCACCCAACTCCATAAGGAAGCCTCTGCCCGAAGGCGCTCAGCTCTCTCACTCTGTGGGTCAGCACACCCACAGTAACTGCACTGCTCTGTGGGCCGGGAAGTCCATCGCCATCTCGCGCTGGTCTCCTGGTTCTGCTGCCACCATTTTTCTGCCATTGCTTCTTGCCATCTTGCGCTGTCTCCAGCGGTGTTACAGCTCTCTCTTTCTGTCTCCTGGGTCTAGGAGGTTCTTAGTGCAGGGATGCCAGGTCCAAAGGATGCACTCCACTCCCGTCTCTTCCTGGTGGTAGTGAGTTCCCCCCTCTTCCTGCTTCTGGGATGGCTCATTTTAAGCCTAGCTGGATGGCAGAACTGACCAATCACCTCATTAAGGTTCTATACACCTTATTTGCATGGTCTTACCCCTACAAGTGTGCCATGCACCTTATTTGCATTATTAGCAAGCTATCCAATCCCCTTGGTGGGCCACAAGCACCTCATTTGCATACTCCCACCTAACCATATAAAAGTGATGCATTGCACTGCAAAGAGCAAAGCTAACCTGGGATTAGAGGCAAAGGTCTCTGACAGTCACACTGGCTGAGTGGGTTGCAGGCCTTTTAAGAAAATTAAGTCATTGCCAAGCTTTATAAATCAGGAGCTTTCACATAAATGTCTATTTCTGGTTGTTTGTAAAAAATTGCCATGTTTGCATCTCCTTCTGCTCACCCCCACACACTCTGCCCCAGCCATACGGTCCTCCTCATTGCCCCTCCAGTTCCCTTCAAGCAGCCCCTGCGCTAGGGCCTTTGCACTGGCTGCTCCTACTACGTGGGACTCGGCTCTCCCGGATCCACATAGTTCTCTCTCCCTTCCCACCTTCAGTTTCTGTTTCATTTTGTTGTTGTTTATTTTCTTACATCTTACCTACCTGACCACCACCCTGAAAACTGCAGTCCTTTTCCTCCTCTGCTTTGTTTTCCCCACCCTCTGTCAGAGCACAGCTGCTGCCTTGATTGTCTGATGTCTGTCTTTCTCCCTGCAGAGTAGGGATTTGAGTCTATTTTGTTCACTGTCCTACCTGCAGGTCTTGGAGCAGTGCCTGGCAGGTAGTAGGCTCTCAACAAATGTTTGGTGAGTGAATGAATAAGTAAACGAGTGAGTGAATGAATGAAAGAACAAGTGAGTGAATAAATGAGTGAGTGAATGAATGAGTGAATGAACAAATGAGTGAATAAGTGAGTGAATGAATGAGTGAATGAAAGAACAAGTGAGTAAATAAATGAATGAGTGAGTGAATGAATGAGTGAGTGAGTGAATGAATGACTACATGTGGCCACAAGGAGCCCGCATTCCTGCATGGTGCTGTAAACTGCAGCTGCCCGGCAGCCACCTCCTCTAGTTGGGGCATGGGCCCCCCTCATTTGCCACATCCCCTGATCAGCATTAGCTGTAATCATTAAAATGCATTTTTAAAAATAACTGGCATGAATACATTATCTGTTAACCTTACTTTTAATTATATAAACTGGGCAGGGGGCAGCGCCTGGGAAGGGCTCTTCCTCCACCTCTAGTCCCCACAGCCCCCGCCTGGGGGCATGTGGGGGGTGGGCGAGGGACAGGTGCCCACAGTGCACCCACAGACCTGCTTGTCTCGCCACTGCAGAATGTGCGCATCGACCCCAGTAGCCTGTCCTTCAACATGTGGAAGGAGATCCCCATCCCATTCTACCTCTCCGTCTACTTCTTCCACGTGGTCAACCCTGAAGAGATCCTGAAGGGCGAGAAGCCGCAAGTGCAGGAGCGTGGGCCCTACGTGTACAGGTGAGGGCGTGTGCAGGTGAGGGGGTGTGCAGGAGAGGGCGTGTGCAGATGAGGGCGTGTGCAGGTGAGGCGTGTGCAGGCGAGGGGGTGTGCAGGAGAGGGCGTGTGCAGGCGAGGGGGTCTGCAGGCGAGGGCGTGTGCAGGAGAGGGCGTGTGCAGGTGAGGGGGTGTGCAGGAGAGGGCGTGTGCAGGTGAGGGCGTGTGCAGGTGAGGGGGTGTGCAGGCGAGGGCGTGTGCAGGTGAAGCTGGCTGAGACCAGGGCCTGGGATACCTGGCTACGCTCATGGGACTCAGAGTGGACTGAAGGTGGTGCTGCCAGGCTGAGTCCCAGAGCTGGTTCCAGAAGCAGGCCAGGCACAGCAGGGAAAAGCAGCAGTGCAGGAGGGGGCCTTTGTGGAGCAGTGAGAACGGTGGTGTGGCTCTGGGTGGAGAGTGTGTGTGTGTGTGAGTGTGTGAATGTGAGAGAGAGGTACACACATCCAGGGCTGAGCTCTAGGCAAGCAGGACCTCCTTGCCAAACCTAAGCTCTTTTCGGGTCTCACTGCTCTGCCTTGGTCATTCATTCATTTATTCCACACACTAAGCAAGGGTTGGCTGTGTGCCAGCCATGGTTCTGGGCAGCAGGGAGACATGAGGGAATAAGACAGAGAAAGTTCACTGCCTCACAGAGCTGACCCTCATGCTCGGGGGGTGAATACAGGTAAGAACTCAGGAAATAAACGAATGATGTGATGTCAGGTAAGGAGTATTAAGTGTTAGGAAGAAAACCCAGCAGGGTAAGAGCATAGTCTTTGTGTGTGTGTCTGCATGTGTGTGTCTATGTGTGTGGGTATCTGCATGTGTGCGTATGAGCGTGTCTGCATGTGTGTGTGTGTGTCTGTTGTAGGTAGTAGGGTGGTCTGGCAAGGCTTCTTGGCCTTTCGTGCGAGGGAAGGAGCCATGGGGAAAGGTGTCCCAGGCAGAGGGAACAGCACATGTAAAGGCCCTGAGGTTAGAAAGAGCCGGATGTGTTTGTGGAGCAGCAGGGAGGCCAGCATGACTGGGAGGGGATGAGCTGGGTTGGGAGGGCAGGGGATGAGGGCAGAGAGGGGCCGGGACCCTTCATGCTGGTCCTGGGGCCTAGGGCAGCACTCTGGGGGGCTGCAGGAGCCTGGAATGGAACAGGGGGTCTTGGAGGAACACTTCGTTGTGTCAGACCAGTGTTTTTTGGTGCCACTTGTGTGCGAGGCATTGGGGACACGAGGATGGACAGACAGATGCTATCTACTGAGGGCATAGGGTCAGAGCAAATGTACATGTTCCAGAGAAATAAAACTGCAGTGATGAACCAGTGCTGGGCAAGTGTTATGGACTGGATTGTGTCCCTCAAAAATGTGTGTCAGTGCTCTGACCAGGATCACAACAGAGGGGTCTGGACAGAGCTGGAGAAGGACATAGAGCATAATTCTAACTCACAAAAAAAAAGACCAGATTTACTGGCCTAAAGGAGACTGGAGAAACCTTGAGAGTATGGCCCCCAGACACCCTTTTAGCTCAGTGGTGAAGTGACCTCCGAGGTTCACTGTTCAGCCTGGGAGTGGACAGCCCCGTAAAACCAAATGAGACTAATGAGGTACAGGAGTCCAGTGACACGGGCCAGAAGGCAGAAGGGGACAAGGAAGCTGGTGATAGGGAACCCAGGGTTGAGTAAGGTTATTGTTGATGTGTTGTGAGATTGTTAACCATTGTCATAGGGCAACATTTGTAGTAACTATTAAATGAGAAACTATTTTGTTCTGTAAGCCTTCATCTTAAGTGAGAATAACAGCACAATTCGAAGAGGGTATCAATGTCACTGAACTGTGCATGTAGAAATTTGTGAAACGGTGTATCTTTGGCTTTGTGTATTTTCACCAAAAAAAAAAAAAAAGATTGAGAAGTTAGAGGGTTGATATGTTGTGGGGTTGTTAACCAATGTCATAAAACAACATGTGTACTTCTGTTTCATGAGAGACTATTTGTTCTGTAAGCCTTCACCTGAAGTACAATTAAAAAAAAAAAAAAATGTGTGTCAGCTTGGCTAGGCCATGATTCCCGGTATTGTGTGCTTGTCCACCATTCTGCCATCTGATGGGATTTTCCTGTGTGTTCTAAGTCCTACACCACCAGGCACATCATCACGAGTTCCTGGCTCTGCGCTCCAACCACTTTGCCTCCTCTGTTCTTAAACATTCCTCGCTCCCTCCTACCTCTGAACCTTTGCACATGCAGTTCCTCCGCCTGGAGCACCCCCCTCCCATCCCTGTTGTCTTAGTCATCTAGTGCTGCTTTAACAGAAATACCACAGGTGGGTGGCTTTAACAAACATAAATTTACTCTCTCATAGTCTAGGAGGCTGGAAGTCTAAATTCAGGGCGTCAACTCCAGGGGAAGATTTTCTCTCTCTGTTGGCTCTTCAGGAAGGTCCTTGTCATCAATCTTCCCCTGGACTCGGAGGGTCCAAAAGACGCACCATTCTCCTGGCACTACTTTCTTGATGGTGTGAGGTCCCCATGTCCCTCTGCTCGCTTCTTTCCTTTGTATCTCAAAAGAGATTGACTCAAGACACAACCTAATCCTGTAGATTGAGTCCTGCCTCATTAACATAACTGCCTCTAATCCTGCCTCATTAACATCACACAGGTTAGGATTTATGACAGGTAGGAAAATCACTTCAGATGACAAAATGGTGGACAATCACACAGTACTGGGAATCATGGCCTAGCCAAATGGACATATACTTTGGCTGGACACAGTTCAATCCATGACAGCAGCCCAGGTGAAGATCCTCTCTGGCCACAGAATCCTGGCACTGGTGGTTTTACTGCTAGTGTAATATCAAGAGGGGGAAAGTGGAGGGATGAGGCCTGACAGCTGGGCAGGCCGGATAGTGAGGGCCTTGGAGGACATGTAGTAGGAGTCTGATGTCCTATATGCCAAGAAGTGTTGTGGGTGAGTAAATGACATGATCTGATTTCTATTTTTCAAAGAATTCATCTGGATGTTTTGTGGAGAATGGATTGAAGAGGCAAGAAATAGTAATAATAACAAACAAAGCAAAAAAACCAAACCCGTTGCCATCAAGTCGATTTCAATTCATAGCGACGCTATAGGACGGAGTAGAACTGCCCCATAGGGTTTCCAAGAAGCAGCTGGTGAATTCGAACTGCTGACCTTTTGGTTAGCAGCCGTAGCTATAATAGCTAATGTTTATATAGTGTTTTCTATGCATTGGGCAACTGTTTTAATTGTTTTATGTGCATTAACTCATTAAATCCTCAAAACAACCCTGTGAAGTAGGTCTTATTGTTACTCCCATTTTACAGATGGGAAAACCGAGGCGCAGTTAGTATATCAGTTTCCTGGGGCTTCCATAACAGTACTACAAACTGGCTGGCTTAAAGCAACAGAAATGTATTCTCTCACAGTCCCGGAGGCCGGCAACCTGGCATCAAGGAGCCAGCGGGGCCGGGCCCCCTCGGAAGGCTCTAGGGCAGAGTCCTTCCCCCTCTCTTCCAGTTCTTGTGGCCCCTGGAGTTCTTTGGCCTGTGACAGCATCACTCCAGTCTCTGTCTTCCCTGTTCATCTCTCTCTCCTCCTCTTCTTGTAAGGACACCTGTCATGAAGAGGCCAAGGCCCAGCCTAATGACCTCATCCCATCTAATTACATCTGCAAAGACCCTATTTCCAAACAAGGTCACGTTTACAGGAACCCGGGCTTAGGACTCTCTTTTTGGGGACGTAATTCAACCCATAAGAGGTAGTAAGTGTTGGAGGCAGGCCCTGAGCCTCGGCCATCTGGCTTCTGGCTTCGGAGTGATGTCCTAACCACTCTGCTACACTTCCTCCCAGTGAAAATGCAGGGATCCGTAGTAGGAGGCTGGGGTGTCACCCCGGCTTGGTGACAGATGGTCGTGGCATCGTTGGGGTAGAGGAGGGAGTGTACTCTTTGGAGGAGCTCTAAGGCAGGCAGAGGGATGTGGGGGGTGGGGGAGGGTGGCAGCAGCTGGGTGGGTGGTAGGCTGGGTCCTGCAGTGGGTGGGCGGTGGAGAGGCAGACTCGGGGGAGGTGGCCATGTCCTGCTTTGGCTGTATTGGGGTGGTGATGTCCTCAACATCTGAGGGCCCCACAGGAAGTCTGATGTTGGCCCCACAGTACGCCGGCCCACCCATCGCTACCCCACTCCTCACCCCCCCAGGGAGTTCAGGCACAAGAGCAACATCACCTTCTATGACAATGACACGGTGTCCTTCCTGGAGTACCGCAGATTCCAGTTCCAGCCCGCCAAGTCCCACGGCTTGGAGAGCGACTACATCGTCATGCCCAACATCCTGGTCTTGGTGAGAGTCCCCCATGGCCGCGCCACCCCACATCCCCACCCTCAGCCTCTTCCCGCCTGTTCCTTGCATGGTGCAGGCCCTTGGCTGGGCAGAGCATGGCAGTCCTTAGGCCCAGCAGGTGGCTCTCAGGGGCTTGGATCTCTGTCCAGGCTGCATCCACCACCCCACGAATTCTGAGTTTCCTTGGTGTGTCCACCTGTCGCTGGTTCAGAAGTACTAGCCAATGTCATTTTCTTGTCCTTTTCAATCTACAAACCTGAAATCTCCAAAAGCAAGGCAGAGGGTGGGGGGCTGGATGGGCGCGCCCAGGTCATCGCCTGCAGCCTTTGCGGCAGGGTGTGGGCCAAGAATCATGGGAACAGCTGGCGTTTCCTGACTCTTGCTCTGTGTGTCTGCCTCCCTCTGCAGACGGCCGCCATGATGATGGAGGACAAGCCCTTGAGCCAGAAGTTGCTCCTGACCCTGATGTTCAGCACCCTCGGGGAGCGTGCCTTCATGAACCGCACCGTTGAGGAGATCATGTGGGGCTATGATGATCCCCTCCTGAGTATCATCAATAACTACCTTCCCAACATGTTCCCCTTCAATGGCAAGTTCGGGTTATTCTCTGAGGTAAGTGCAATGCCCATGTTTTGTCCTCTGTGGACACACATGCAAACCTGGTTACCGACTTGCTTTGGAGCTTGGCTGTTGGTGGGAATCCATGGGCTATGAGTTGTAAATGGCAGAAAACCTAACCCAAATGGGCTCAAGCAAAATAGGGAACTGAAAACTAGGGATAGATTCAGGTGCAGCTGGATCCAGCACTCAACTGATGTGATTGGGGTTTGGCTTAGAAAATTAGAAGCTGTTTCTAGAAGGGGGAATGGAGGCTGGGGAGGCAGGTCACAAATTACTGCCCTGGCGGCATCAGCGATTGGGCTCCTGAGCCATGTAGTCTGATCCCTGACTTCTGACCCTTGACCTTGTTCTGTTCCATCAACCACAGGTTTTAATGAGCCGTCTGTGTTGCTCCAGCCTCAATCCTCTCTTTGAGCTCTGCTGATCTGGTGTAGGGTGTTGGTGGGGGTGGGGGTGGGGGGAAATTGTGATTCAAAACATTTTTGACCAGGACAGCAGGTTCTGAGTGTGTGGGTAAATTGTCAAGTTTGGGATAAGTGACGTGATTCTGTAAAAGCACTTTGTAAACTTTGAAGCACTTTGCAAATGAAAGTTATTACAGTCACTAAACAAACCAAAACACCAAACCCATTGCTGTCGAGTCGATTCTGACTCACGGCGACCCTATAGGACAGAATAGAACTGCCCCCTAGGGTTTCCAAGGAGCGGCTGGTGGATTCAAACTGCTGACGTTTTGGTTAGCAGCTGAGCTCTTAACCACTGCACCACCAGTCACTAGCATAAAGAAAAGAAAAAGACCAGTTGCCGTCAAGTTGATTCTGACTCACGATGACCCCACGTGTATCAGAGTAGAACTGTGCTCCATAGGGTTTTCAATGGCTGAGTTTTCGGAAGTAGATCACCAGGCCTTTCTTCCAAGGCACTGCTGGGTGAACGCGAATCTCCAGCCTTTCGGTTAGCAGCCAAGTGCTTAACTGTTTGCACCACACGGGAAATCGTCTGTGTTTGACTGCATTTACTAGAAACCCCAGAATAACAGTCCAGAGGTAGGCTGTTCTGTGCTGATGGTGGCTTCACATCTCCAGGGAACTAGACACTTCCTTTTATAGAGTCCCTGGGTGCTGCAGATGGTTAAGTGCTCAACTAGTAGCTGGAAGGGTGGAGGCTTGAACTCACCCAGAGATGCTCTGGAAGACAGAGCTGGCTATCTGCTCCTGTAAGCTCACAGCCTTGAAAACCTTTGCAGCTCAGTCCTCTGACACACATGGGGTCGCCGTGAGTCAGAATCGACTTGACGGCGACTGGCAACGGTGACGAAGGACCCTTCTACTGCTCTGCCCTGCCATCCTTAGGGTGTGGTTTCCACACCTGAGGTGACCTCGTGGCCCAAGGTGGCTGCTAGGCTGGCTGACCGAGGTCCCATGGCCGAGCTGTAGTTTAGGTTAGGGTGGGGTGGGGAGGCTGGTCCTACTATATACCAGGAGGAAAGCCCGACTCTCCTTGAGTTGAGAGGGAAGGTGGGGTGCTCCTAGGGAGCCCCAAGCCCTCCTTCTCCTCTTGATGTCTGGGAGGAGGGACAAGATGATGAGGTCCCTGCCCTCCTAGAGGAAGGGAGGCCCAGCCTGGAACTGAATGGGCGGGCTGGAGGGCAGCCCTGGGCCCTTTGTCCTCGGCCCCGAGGCCTTAACGATGCTCTTCTCTGCCGTTGTCTGCAGCTCAACAACTCCCATTCGGGGCTCTTCACTGTGTTCACGGGCGTCAAAGACTTCAGCAGGATCCACCTGGTGAACAGGTGGAACGGGCTCAGCAAGGTGAGGGAGAGGGTGGGTGGGCTGGACCGGGCTGGGTGGAACAGGAACCAGGGGCAGGCAGGGGCCCTGGCCTGGCCACTCTGCCCGCTCGCTTTCTCCTGAAACTCAGGAGGGTGGGTGGCATCTGTCCTGCAGCAGACGTTTCGGGGGAGAACACTCACGGAGTTCAGGATTTTACCCGTGGCTGATGCAGCTGGTTAAGTCCTCAGCTGCTAACTAAAAGGTTGGAGGTTCGAGTCCACCCAGACGCACCATGGAAGAAAGGCTTGGCTATCCACTTGGGAAAAATCAACCGCTGAAAACCCCACAGAGCACAGTTCTACTCTGACGCACATGGGCGCACCAGGGTCAGAGTTGACTCAATGGCAACTGGTTTTGTTTTTTAAAAGCTGCCCGAGCCCTTGGTTTCGAGGGCCCTTCACTGCTGACCTTTGTGGGGAGGGGGCAGGGTGCAAAATAGTAATTGCTTGTTCTTGTTGGGCTCCTAGTGTGTGCCAGGAACTGAGTTCTTTCTTCCTTTGGTTCTGAATTTGTAAAAACATTTAAACAATGTTCTGCTGGAAACACAGGAAGATATTCACATTAAAAACAGAAACAATGGAGATATATATAAAGTGCACTTTATGCCACCTTTTACTCCTTCCCCGCTCCCCCTACCCCAACCACAGAGGAAACCCTCAATCATCAGTTTGGAGTATGTTCTTCCTGTCTGTTTTTATCCACTTGCACACAATTATGTACACGTAGAGATACGTGAGGGTTTTGCCTTCTTGTTTGAACATAAGCAGATCATACGGTATGACTTTGCAGCTCGCTTTCCCCATCCTAGTCATCTTTGGTCAACATGCTTGAAAAAGACTGTGCGTGGCGTCACGTGGCTCCCAGCTGCTAAATGTGGGCCATGAGAATCAGTGCTCAGCTCTGAAGACCCCAGAGTGGCAAGGTCACTACCTGTCACCAAAATTACCATTCTTCATGACAACTATTCACATTCTTTTTGTGAATATAAACCCAAACCCAAACCCACGGCTGTCGAGTTGATTCCGACTCATAGCGACCCCACGGGGTTCGCAAGGCTGTAAATCTCTAGGGAAGCAGACCGCCACATCTTGCTCCCGCGGAGCCGCTGGTGGTTTCGAACCGCCGACCTTTTGGTTAGCAGCCGGTCACTTTAACCACTGAGCCACCAGGGCTCCTTTAAATATAAAAGTGCACCCGAAAAGGACAAATACTGTATGATCCCGCTTATATGAAATAAGCAAGTACATAGAAAGCAGATTATTAGTGGTTACCAGGGGTGGGAGCGGGGAGGAAAGGGAAAGTTTTTGCTTAGGAAGCATTGAGTTTATGTTAATGGTGGGGGAATAATTTGGAAAACGATAGCAGGAATGGTTGTACAACATGAAGCATGTGATCAGTGCCACTGTATTGTACACGTAGAAATTGTTGGGGGAAAAATGTACCTGTGCACAGGGTTTAACAAATCCAGTAGTACAGAAGGAAGGGGCCCTGGTGGCAACAACGGTTACTTGCTTGGCTGCTAACTGAAAGGTCAGCGGTTCGAACCCACCGGTGGCTCTGCAGGAGAAAGGCCTGGTGATCTGCTTCCGTAATGATCACAGCCTAGAAAACCCTATCATCGGGCAGTTGTACACTGTGACGCGTGGGGTCGCCACGAGTTAGAATCAACTCCACGCCACACAACAGCAGTACCAAACCCACTGCTGTCGGGTCGATCCTGACTCATAGTGACCCTATAAGACAGAGGAGAACTGCCCCACAGGGTTTCCAAGGCTTTTGAAACTTTACATAGCAAATTAGGTTCCCATTTAACAATTTTTATACAAATTGTTCCATCAAAGCTGTAATCTTCATGGAAGCAGACGGCCACATCTTTCTCCCGCTGAGTGGCTGGTGGGTTCCAACTGCTGACCTTTTGGTTAGCAGCCGAGCGCTTTAACCACTGTGCCACCAGGGCTCCTAACAATGGTACAGAAGGATCAAAAGTCTGATTTGTTCTGCCCAGGTCTCGCCCTGAAGCAACTACTCCAATGGGCTGTTTTGAGCCCTCCTGGCAGCCACCGTTATGATTTTGTGTTACTTATTGCTGCATTTCTTAACTTTATCTGTTTTTAGGAGTGCCCACTGACGTCCTCTGTGGAGGATGAGGATGTCCCTGTTCTATGTCCCACCTCTCCTGCCCCCTGTGTTCTTGCTGTATTCAGTCTGGAGATATGGGGGATACGCCCATTTTACGGATGAAGTGACCGAGTCCCAGCAAATTTGGGAAGGGAGTGGGAAGCTGCAGTGGACACTCCCTCTGTCTGTCTGGCTGCACAGCTGCCCTCCACCCACTGTGCCAGGCCCTGTCCCCGAGCGCACTGGCTTCTGCTGAAGGACAGTGTTGGGAATGAGAGGGCAATGCCCACACCAGGGTCCACGGAGTGTGATGCCACAGCTCCAAATCAGGAGTTGGACACGTGAGAGCCACAGAGGCTGTGGCTGTCCTGACTGGCCATGTCTAAATGCTTCCCTTCAGGTCAGCTTCTGGCATTCTGACCAGTGCAACATGATTAACGGAACTTCTGGAGAAATGTGGGCACCATTCATGACTCCCAAATCCTCGCTGGAATTCTACAGCCCTGATGCCTGCCGGTAATCCCTCAGACACGACTGTTCTGGGCCTCCCGAACGGCGGGAATCTGCTTCCCAGATGGCTGATAGCACAAGGGGAGGCCCTGGGTGGTACAGACGTTAACAGTTAAGGTTGGGGCTTCAAGTCCACTCACATGTGCCTTGGAGGAAAGGCCTGGGGATCTACTTCCAAAATAGCAGCCATTGAAAACCCTGTGGAGCTCAGTTCTACTCTGACACACATGGGGTCACACTCTACAGCAACTGGTTTTCATGGCACTTGGCTGGGGACTTCTGATCAGCAGTACTTGATCTTCAAAAGTTGTTGCTGTTGGGTGCTGTTGAGTCGATCCCGATTCATAGTGACTCCAAGTGATAGAGTAGAACTGCCCCATAGGGTTTTCTTGGTTGTAATCTTTAGGGAAGCAGATCACCAGGTGGCTTTCCTGCAGAGCCACCGGGTGGGTTTGAACCACCAGCCTTCTAACTGAGGGAGCAGCTGAGTCCTTAACTGTTGGCGCCAGCAGGGCTCCTTTATCAGAGCACTTGGAGAAGGCTGGGCTGGTTGCTGCTAACTAGCCCTCTGAGGCCATCTTGCATTCTTTTTGCTGCACCTTAGAGAGCTAGCTCCAACCGCTGACACTTTTGCAACAGGCCCAAAGAGCGGCTGCTGGCACGTGTGTGGTGGGGGGCAGGAAAGGATCGAGGCAGCAGAGCTGAGCAATGAAGGCATGAGGGGTTCCCTTCCGACACCGTCTGGCCAGCTGCCGTGTTACCATTTGGGGGGCTGAGACATCCAGCTCACCATCCTGCAGCCCCTCAGTCTCCAGCTCGCATGCCTTGAAGGGTTAACAATTGTGCTTGGAGGGTAAACCATCCCCGTGGTCCCAGCCTGTGGACTGAGAGCAGAGAGCGTCCCCTAGACTGCTTCTCCGGGTGCTGCTGTGTCCTGTCTTCCATTCCGGTCCCTCTGGGGAAATCCTTTACTGGGGAATTAACTAACATGAACCTTGGCTTGTCTGCCTTCTCTCAACTAGCTTGAGTTTTTCCTCTGTGCTGGGGCCGCGGCAGGGACAAGACGGGCAAAGTCCCTGCTCTCTGGGAGCTGATGTCCTATTGGGTGGTCAGCAAATATGTGAACAAGAGGGTGTCAAGAACAAGAAGTACTTCTGCTCTGTGTGTGTTCTAGTTTTTTGATGTAATTTTAGACTTAGAGAAAAGTTCTGTGAGAAGTAAAGCAGCTCCACCTAAGCCCTTTACCGAGGTCCACCCGCTGTTTCTGTTTGTCTTGTCTGCTTTCTGAGTACGCCCCGCCTTTCTCTCTTTGTATATCTTTTTTTCTCGAACCATTTGAGAGTGAGTTGGAGACACCGTGCCCCTTTATGCCGAAATACCTGGGCGTGTGTTTTCTAAAAACAAGGACATTTTTAACATAACCACATTATAGTTACTGACATCGGGGAATTTAACATTGATATAACATTGTTGTCTAATCTGGAGCTGTGCAATGAAAATATAGTGCAAGTTGCACATGTAATTTGAAATTTTCTAGTAGCCACGTTAAAAAAAGTAAAAAGAAACAGATGGAATTCATTTTAATAGTATATTTTATTTGACCTAGTATATCCCACATAGTCTCATTTCAACATGTCATCAGTGCAAAATGTTATCAAAGAGATATTTTGCGTTCCTTTTTCCATACTGAGTCTTAGAAATTTGAAGTGTCTTTTACACTTATGGAGTCCCTGGGTGGTGCAAACAGTTAACGCGCTTGGCTACTAACTGAAAGGTTGGCAGTTTGAGTCCACCCAGAGGCGCCTCGGAAGAAAGGCATGGCAGTCTACTTGCGAAAAATCAGCCACCGAAACCCCGTGGGGTGCAGTTCTGCTCTGACACACATGGGGTTGTCACAAGTCAGAGTTGACTCAACCGCAGCTGGTTTTCCTGGTGGTTTACACTGACAGCCCATCTCAATTTGAACGAGCCTCATTTCAAGGGCTAGATAGAGGTGGCCGTGGTCACTGTACTGGACAGCGTGGGTCTAATCCACAGTCCATAGTCAAACTGGGGAGTGCTTTTGAGAAAGTACAGCAGGGAGAATGGACGGAGGACGAATAGGGCAAGTGTAAGAGGTGAGGTGATATTGCTACCTGAGCAGGGGACAACTGGACTAAGACCCTACTGAAGCAGTCTGACGTGTGAGGATTCAAGGGAAGAACATTCCAGGCAGGGGGAGCAGCAGATGCAAAGGCCCTGAGGCAGAGATGAGCATGTTCAAGGAACAGCAAGGAGGCCGGTGGGGTGCAGAAAAGTGGGTGAGGACATGAGAGGCATGGGCTAGACCCCGTAGGACCTTGTGGGCCATGGCGAGCATGTTGGATCTTATCGCCAGCTCAAGTGGGAGTCATTGCTGGTATAAGGAGGGGAGTGATGTCTTCTTGTTTTAAAGACCTGGTTGGTGTGGCCAGTTGATTGATGGGGTGAGGGGCAGAGCTGAGGCGGGGAGACAGGGCAAGAGGTGACGGCGGGTGGCCTGGGAGGTGGCAATGAAGGTGGGAGGAGTGGATGGATGGGGGCTGCATTGAACGGGATGCAGTTCCACCCACCTGGTTCTGGGGGTCACCCCTCCCCTTCTCTGCCCCCTACAGGTCCATGAAGCTGGTCTACAAGGAGGCAGGGGTGTTTGAAGGTATCCCCACCTACCGCTTCGTGGCCCCCCCCACCTTATTTGCCAACGGATCCGTCTACCCGCCCAACGAGGGTTTCTGCCCGTGCCTGGAGTCTGGAATCCAGAATGTCAGCACCTGCCGCTTTGGTACACAGGGCCTCACAGAGGGCAGAGGGCGGAGGGCGGAGGGCGGCTGTGGTGAGGGCTTATCTGCATCTCTGGCCTCTGAACTCTTGATAATCCCATTAGGCCAGAGATAAGGAGAACAGTGGAAAGATAATTAGAGAAAAAACATGCTGTATGTATTAGGGAGTCCCTCAATACATCACCACAAACAGTGGCTTAAAACAACACACATTAATTATCTCATGGTTCTGGAGGTCAGAAGTCTGCCATCGGTCTCATGGGGCTAAAATCAAGGTATTGGCAGGGCTTCGTTCCTTCTGAAGGCTTCTTGGCCGTTTCCAGCTTCTAGAGACTTCTACATTCCTTGGCTCGTGGCCCCTTCATCCATCTTCAAAGCTAGCGATGCCACGTCTTTCTGAGGCTTCCGAGTCTATAGTCACATCTCTTGCTCTCTTCTTCCAGCTTTAAGAACCCCTGTGATTACTTTGGGCCCACCTGGATACCTGCCTTGTTTATGGTCAGCTGGTTAGAACCTTAATTCCATATGCTGCGTTAATCCCTCCCTCGCCTTGTAAGGTAACGTATTCACAGGTTCTGGATGTTAGCATGAGGACAGCTTTGGGGGGCCGTTCTTAGGCTGACCACACTGTGATATGAGAGTGAGGTGAGGCTTGGGGCAGAGGGTCTTTCCCCTCTCCAGGGACAAAAGAAATTGATGATGGTTGGATTGTCATGTAAATCCTCTTGGTTGGTGGTGTGAGCTTTCACGGTTGGGTGTGATATAGGTGCCACCAGCAAAACTTCTTCTGGCGTCTCCGATGGGTTTCGGTTGTGCCAATCCCCAAGACAGCCCCACTGCAGTTGCTTATCATCTTTTTATAGTCTTCTTGGCACTCACTGCTAACTGAAATCATTGACTGTATTTTATTTATTTATTTATTTTTTATTGTGCTTTAGATGAAGGCTTACAGAACAAATTAGTTGCTCATTAAATGATTAATACACATCTTGTTTTGTGACATTAGTTGCCAACCCCACGATATGCCAACACTCTCCCCTTCTCAACCTTGTGTTCCCCATTTCCATTTGTCCAGCTTTCCTGTCCTCTCCTGCCTTCTTATCCTTGTGCCTGGGCTGGTGTCCGAATTTAGTCTCGTTTTGTTTTATGGGCTTGTCTAATTTTTGGCTGAAGGGTGAACCTTAGGAGTGACTTCAGTACTGAGTTAAAAAGGTGTCTGGGGGCCATACTCTCTGGGCTTCTCAGTCTCTGTCAGACCAGTTAAGTCTGGTCTTTTTTTGTGAGTTAGAATTTTGTTCTACATTTTTCTTCAGCTCTGTCCAGGACCCTCTACTGTGATCCCTGTTAGAGCAGTCAGTGGTGGTAGCCGGGCACCATCAAGTTGTGTTGGACTCAGTCTGGTGGGGGCCGTGGTCGTTGTGGTCCATTAGTCCTTTGGACTAGTCTTTCCCATGTGTCTTTGGTTTTCTTCATTCTCCCTTGCTCCAGACAGGGTGAGACCAGTGGAGTATCTTAGGTGGCCGCTCACAAGCTTTTAAGACCCCAGATGCTACTCTCCAAAGTAGGATGTAGAACATTTTATTTATAAACTATGTTATACCAGTTGAGCTAGATGTTCCTGAGACCTGTGTATTTTATTTTACTTGTTGGTTGTCTGTCTCCTCAACTAGAGTGTAGCTCCATGAGGCAGGACTACCTTCTCTTTTCCTGTGCTATCTCCTCAGCTTCTAGAACTAGACCCATCATATTGTGGGTCCTCATCAAATATTTGAATACATGGATGTGTGAGAGTGTTCTGTATTTAGAAACTGAGGCCTCAGGTTGGGACGTGATGAGGTCACACATTGGTGGGACAAGAAGCTGGCCTTCTACCTGACCGGCTTTCCGCCAAGGCTCTGCTCTCTCTCCGGTTGCCTTTTGGAAGCTGCTTTGGTTGAAGCCACGCCTTCCAGCTGGAGATGGCGATTCTGGAGGACAGGGTTGGGACATCAACAGACTGGACAGTTTCCTCAGTTTCAGGTGGAACAGGCACTCTGTGGCGGAGGGTTTTGGAGACAGACCTAGTCTGGCCCACCTAGGCATTGCCCTCTATCATTTCGTCTTCCTTCCCTGGCATCTACAGAAGTTTCGCTTGTTGGGAGGCTGAGCAGTGCTGACACATGGTGGGCATGGTAGATCCATTTCTGTGGCAAGTGGCTGATGTCACACTCAACTCGATTTAGGCCAAAGAAGGGCCCTTTTTGGTTTGTGTAACTAAAAAGTACAGGGTAGATCCTTGTATCAGGCTCGGATCCTGAGCTCAGACGTTGTCTGGAAGTTTCTCCATATTCCAGCTTGGTTTTCCTCAGGGCTGGCTTTGCTGTCAGGCAGGCTGTTCCTGAGGGGCTCTGGCCTCGCCTCGTCACAGTGTGAGTCCAGCAGAAAGGGGCCACCTCCATTTCCTTCACTCCAGTAAAAGTCCCAGGACTTGCTCTGATTGGTTTGCCTTGCATCACACGCTCAGCTTGAACCAGTCACTGTAGCTGAGGATGTAATATGCTGATTGGCCAGGCTGTGTTATATGCTCCACTCCTGGATCCATGGATGGGGCCAGCCTCACTCAAAGCACATGGCTGAGAGATGGGAAAGGTCAAATTGGAGTGTAGGTACCCGAAAAAGGGCAGAGTGGTGCTGGGCAGATAGAAACAGCACGCATCCATCCACTGCAGAGGACTTGGGAGTAGGTTTGCACTGCCTTAGGTTAGCATAGCTAACAAAGGAATTTCAAAAGTCTTTGCTAGGGATTTTAAAATTATTTATTCAAATGAAGTTTTTTTTTTCCTTTTTAAATTGAAGTAAACATATGTTATGGACTGAATTTTGTGCCCCCAAAATGTGTGTCGACTTGGCTAGGCCAGGATTACCAGTATTGTGTGGTTGTCCACGGTTTGTGTTCTGATGTAATCATCCTAAGTGTTGTAAATCCTCATCTCTGCGATGTTAATGGGGCAGGATTAGACGCAGTTATGTTAATGAGGCAGAACTCAATATATAGGATTAGTTTGTATCTTGAGTCAGTCTCTTTTGAGATCAAAAGAGAGAAGCGATCCAGAGAAGAGGGGGACCTCATACTACCTAGAAAGAAGCACCAGAGTCCTTGCGCTGAGAAGCTCCTAGACCAGCGGAAGATTGATGACAAGGACCTTCCCCCAGAGCAGACACAGAGAGAGAAAGCCATCCCCTGGAGCTGGCGCCCTGAATTTGGACTTGTAGCCTCCTAGACTGCAAGAGAATACATTTCTGTTTGTTGAAGCCATCCACTTGCGGTATTTCTGCTATAGCAGCACTAGAGAGCTAAGACAACATATGTAGAGAGAAGTCCCCAAATTATATGTGCAGTCTGAATTTCTACAACGTGAAAATGTAACCGGCACCCAGATAAAGAAACACAACATGGCAGCTCACCTGCCCCCCAAACCCCTCCTGTTCCGTCTCGGCCATGATCCTGACTTCTAACACCACAGAGAAATCTTTGCCTGCTTTTGGTCTTTGTGTGAATGGAATCATAGAGTACATACTCTTTTGTTGGTTTTTCATGGCTTCTCTTACTTATTGTTTGTGAGATTAATTGTGTTGTTGGTGGAGGTTGCGATTTGTTCTCGTCACTGTGTGTGGATTCCATTCTGTGAATACACGGCAAGTTACTCACTCCTGCTATTCCTCCTGGCTATCACAGTGTCTGGTTTTTGACCATTATCCTCATGTTCCTAGGAACATTCTCCACTCTGCCAGCAATAACTGCCGATTTCCTTCCCCCGACCCCAGCCCCTGGTAACCAGGAATCCCTTTGGTCTCTACGCGTTCGTCTATTCTAGATATTTCATAGAAGTGTCTGCTTCTTTCACTCAGCACCGTGTTTTCAAGATTCACGCACGCTGTAGCGTGTATCAGGACTCCATTCCTTTTTATGGCTAAAGAATGGTCCATTGTATGGATAGACCACATCTGGTTTATCTATTCAGTGCTTGATGGACACCTGGCCTGATTGCACCTTTTGGCTACTGTGAATAGTGCTACTGTGAACATAGGTGTATCTGTTGTAGTCTCTGCTTTCAATTCTTGAGTTTGTACCTAGGAGGGGAATTGCTGGGTCATAGAAACATTCTTTTTATTTTATTTTATTGTTGTACTTTAAGTGAAAGTTTACAATTCAAGTTAGTCTCTCATACAAACATTTATACATACATTGTTATGTGACCCTAATTGCTCTCCTTATACTGTGACAAGCACACTCCTCCTTTCCACCCCTGATTTCCTGTGTCCATTCAGCCAGCTCCTGACCCTCTCTGCCTTCTCATCTCCCCTCTGGACAGGAGCTGCCCATTTAGTCTCGTGTATCTACTTGAGCTAAGAAGCACACTCTTCACGAGTGTCAATTTATGTCCCATAGTCCAGTCTAATCTTTGTCTGAAGAGTTGGCCTCGGGAATGGTTTTAGTTCTGGGTTGACAGAGAGTCCGGGGGCCTTGCTTTCTGAGGTTCCTCTAGTCTCAGTCAGAACATTAAGTCTTGTCTTTTTACTAGAATTTGAGTTCTGCACCCCACCTTTCTCCTGCTCTATCAGGGACTCTCTGTGGTGTTCCCTGTCAGGGCGGTCATTGGTGGTAGCCAGGCACCATCTAGTTCTTCTGGTCTCAGGCTGCTGCAGTCTCTGGTTTATGTGGGCCTTTCTGTCTCTTGGGCTAATACTTTCCTTGTGTCCATAGTGGTCTTCGTTCTCCTTTACTCCAAGTGGGTTGGGACCAATTGATGCGTCTTAGATGGCCGCTTGCTAGCTTTTAAGACCCCAGACGTCACTCAACAAAATAGGATGCAGAACATTTGGGTCATAGAAACATTCTTATACATGTCTTTTGGTGCACATATATCTGCATTTCTATGGCGTTTTATCTGAAATTAAGAAATACCCACATCTTTCCTTTCTGGGCCTTCAAAATTCCTTAGAGCAGAGAACCGTCTCATATCAAACCTCCCTGCTTCATAGGGGCCTCAGACTTGCCCAACAGCGTCTCTTAATCATAATCTGTGGTGATCCTTAGCAATTATCAGTGGTTAGATGTGCCATAAGGCTATAAATTAATTACCACTTATTGCCTGGGCGGGTCTCTGTCAGCCTATTTGGAAATAAAATAGAAGCAGCATGTGCACACGTGCATGCGATTCAAAACCACCAAGCGGGCTTAAAGTCTGAAGCCAGGCAGGTGTTGTCCACCTGGGCTGGCACACCTCATTCTCCTCAAGGGGTGGAGGTGCAGGGGGGCTTGTTTGAGATTCTCCACCTTCCAGAGCCTGGCTTGGTGGCCGCCTCCTTTACCAAGGGTCTCCAGAATTCCGTCACCTGTAAAAATGGGGTCCTTGCATTTGCCCTGTTTGTATCCTTTCACAGTGGAGGTGGGAGGGTGCGACATGGGGTTTTCCAGAATATGGGATGTTGCCTCTAGGGGGTACTAGGGATGACCGCAAAGGGACCAAGGATGTGGCTTTAAAGCACATTGCCTTTCACAGCGAGAGAACTTCCCTTTCCGGTCTCTTTCCATGCAGATTATCTCCAGGAGAAAGTCTCCATCGGTGCTAAGAAGACCAGAATGCCTTTCTAACACTTGTCAATCTCCCTTTCTGAACAGAGAAGAACAAGTCTCAGGGCCAAAGCCTTGGGCAGGCATGTAGTAATGGTATCTACTTAGAATTTAAGACATTCTTTGGTTTCCATTATATTTATTCACGTGGTTACTTCTTAGTTTTGGTAAGTGTTTGCATTTATGGTAATGACATAATCAACCAACCAGTTGCTGTTGAGTGGACTCCAACTCATGACTACCCCAAGTGCGTCAGAGTAGAATTGCTTCATAGGGCTTTCAGGGGCTGATTTTTCAGAAGTAGATCACCAGGCCTTTCTTCTGAGGTGCGTCTGGGTGGACTCAATCCACCAACCTCTTGGTTAGCAGCTGAGCACATTAACCGTTTGCACCACCCAGGGACTCCAGTGATATAAAACTCTCTTTTAAAATAGAGTTATTTAATCCATAAAACAAAAGGAGACTAAAGGGACACACCAGCCCAGAGGCAAGGATGAGAAGGCAGGAGGGGACAGGAAAGCTAGTAATAGGGAATCCAAGATTGAGAAGGGAGAGTGTTGACATGTTGTGGGGTTGTTAACCAATGTCATAAAACAATATGTGTTCTGACTGTTTAATGAGAAGCTAGTTCTGTAAACCTTCATCTAGAGTAGAATGAAAAAAAGTATATATAATAAAATAAAAGAGTTATTTAAATAAAGCAATGGGAGTTGATTTAAAGAAGCATATTATATAATACTGCAGAGAGTATCCAGATATGGCAACTTCGAAGGGGTCCAATTGAAGGGGAAATAAATGATATTTGAGAAACATTAGGGTGATAGGTATAAAAAGACACTGAGAGAAATAAAGTCAGACATCAATAAAACTCCACCTTCTCCTTCAAACCAATGCTTGGATCTGCTAAGAAAAGCAGAAAAACAGTCCAGACACTTGAGGTTCTCCGATGCCTGTCAGCATGAATGCCAGTCACCTGGCTGGCAGCGAAGAGGGGCTCCTGATGGAAGAAGGGAGGGGACCTCTTGAGTTTTTTGTTCATTTCTTTTTCTTTTTTCTTTAATAATATTTTATTTATTTATTTCGTGAAGGTTTACACAGCAGTTTAAGTTCCCATTCAACAATTTCTACACAAATTGTTCAGTGACATTGGTTACATTCTTCAAATGAGTGAACATTCTCATCATTTCTTTTCTGGTTGTTCTGTTTCTGTTAATCTAGTTTCCCTGCCCCCTTACATTCTCAACTTTGCTTTAAAGTAATTGTTGACTGTTTGGTCTCATATAGATGATTTCTTTAAAGGAGTACAGTATTCACAGGGTGATATTCTTTATTTTGTGAGCCAGTCTGTTATTCAGCTAAAAGTTGACCTCAGGGGCTAGTTTCGATTCAGAGTTTAAAGAGTATCTCAGGGCAATAGGGCAATAGTTCTTTTTTTTTTTTTTTATTGAGGTGGAATTCACCTAACATAAAATTAACCATTTTCAAGTGAACAATGCGGTGGCATTTAGTACAGTCACTATCTAGTTCAAGAACGTTCTCATCACCCCAAAAGTAAACCCCGTTAGTAGTCTCTCCCCAGCCCCTGACAACCACCAATCTGCGTTCTGTCTTCATCAATTTGCCCATTCTGGATCCTCATGAGTTTTCGGAGACAGACTTTCTCTTTCTCGCTAACTCATTGCTCATCGGGCCGGTTGTTCTTTGTTCCTGAGCGTCCACGGGTGATGTGCCATTGCTTTGTTTGGCCAGTTGTTGGAGATGGTTCAGCCTCACGTTTCTGCGTGTAGATTTCTCACTCAGAGGAGCTGGCATCCATCCTGCAGACCAGCTGCTGGTCGAGAAGGAGTCAGGCAGGTGTGTCCTCTCGCCTCCTGCCCTCAGGTGCACACACCTGAGCATTGCTGCGTTGTTGGGCTGCTAGGCATGGCACTCAAGACGCCACCTCCACCCTTCCATTCAGATCTAGCCTCCACTTAGCTTTCCTTCCTCCACTCCCATAATTCATCCTTTATGCTCCATCTGCAGCGTGCTTTTCCCACCTCTGGCCTCTGCTTCTGCCGTCCCTTCCAACTGGAACGCTGCCCCTGATTGCCTCTCCCTTTAGATTCCATCATCTTGACCCAGCCCCAGAACCAGTGGCTCCTGCCTCGCCATTCCTGTGGCACCAAGCTGGCCCCAGCTGTGTTCCTGGCACTGGTGCCTTGTGGACACTCAGGAGATGTTTACGGAATGAATGGAGTTTGCCCCATCTGGCTGCTGATGCTGTTGGTGTTTGTTGGGGAGGCAGCGGCCCTGTTTCACTGTCTGGACCTCCCCTCTGGACACACCGATGCCCTCTCCTGGTCTGACGCCCCCCTCTCGCTCCTCTGCTTCCAGGTGCACCCCTGTTTCTCTCCCATCCTCACTTCTACAACGCAGACCCGGTCTTGGCCGAGGCGGTCATCGGTCTCCACCCCAGCGACCAAGAACATTCCTTGTTCCTGGACATTCACCCGGTGAGTGTCAGCCTGTGGCTGGGCCTGCGGCTGGGCCTGCAGGTGGACCTGCAAGTGGATGGGTACTGAGTGGGGGAATTCCTGCAACGGCCCTTCCTCTCCTCCAGGCACAGAGCCAGTCCAGGGCTGGGTAGTGGGAAACCCAATTTTCTTTGACATTGTTACTTCTAGAACATCAAGCAATCAAATGTCCCTACTTTACCCTGACTCCATAGTTCAAGGATTTTATTATTGCTTTGTAAGGGAGTTGGCTCTGTAAAAGGGCAATAAGGCAGTAAATCAATTAGGAATTACAGTATCAGCCTGGCATGTCTCCTGCAAATTATCCAGGGGCAGCCCTCTGGCCGTGCCAAGATACCTGAAAGGTCTTTAGGTATCAGTAGGCTCCCGGGGCCTCTTGTAGGTAAATCTGGTCCTAGGGAATTTGTCCTGTGTGAAGTTCTGTCTCCACGCAGGGACCAGGGGGGTCAGACCTGTGCCAGTCCCCTCTTCTCTTTGCACCTATGTTCCCTGTCTATAAAAAATGACCAGTCCAACTGCGTGGGTTCTGCCATTGGTCAGATATTCTGTGGGTTTCTGTTTCTGAGTGAACTCTTGGGCCACCCCAAAGCCTCACGCTGTCCCACACCATTTTTCTTTGTCCTCCCAGACTTTTTTAGCACTGACCAGACCCCGCCCCTCCCCCCGGCACCCAGCACTCCACCTTCTGTCCTTTGAGTTAATTTCTTTTACTGTCTCTCTCTCTTTCTGCTGGCTTCTGGAGACTTCCACCGGGAACACACTGTCTTCCCTGCTCTTAGTGGAGACTTACGTCAGTGTGCGGGTTTCCTCTGGTCCCCGCGTGTTGGGAGACTTGTGTTTCGGAGGCTGGAGGGATGCAGACAGCTGTTCAGCAGCTGCGTCATCAGCAGGTCCGGCTGCATCTCTGCTTTCAGGCCAGCGCCACGCAGGCAGGGAGAGGAAGTGGCTTTTATTTTTCTGTCATGGACGTGGGTGCTTGAGGAGGATGACTGTGGGGCGGTTGGCTGCCTGGTGGGCATTACCCCTGAGAATGGGACGCCAGCTGGAAGCGGCTTCTGCGTGGTGGCTGCTTTTCTGCAGCTGAAGCTGGGGAGGGTGACAGAGAGGCAATTAATGCAAGTTCCTGTTCTCTGAGGGGAGCCCTGGTGGCGCAGTGGTTAAGAGCTCGGCTGCTAATAAAAAGATCAGCAGTTCGAATCCACCAGCAGCTCCTTGGAAGCCCTATGGAGCAGTTCTACTCTGTCCTATAGGGTCGCTATGAGTTGGAATTGACTCAACAGCAACGGATTTATGAATCAGATGGTACAGGGGTTAAGAGCTACAGCTGCAAACCAAAAGGTCAGCAGTTCGAATCTACCAGCCACTCCTTGGAAACTCTGTGAGGCAGTTCTACTCTGTCCTATAGGGTCATTATGAGTCAGAATCGACTTGAGGGCAATGGGTTTGGTTTTTTGGTTGGTTCTCTGAGGTGTGCGGAACAGACGGGGCTGTGTCCACTAAGCGGGGCCTGATGGCAGTTAGAGGAATTAGCCAGGGAGGGATTGAAGAAAACTTTTGGGGAAGGAAGTGGCCCAAGTGGAGACCCCAGAACAGGGAGTGCTGCTCTAGAGAGGAGGAGGGGTGACGGGTTGTGTCCCCGAGACCACCCCCAGGTTTGATGACTTGCTAGGAGAACTCCCAGGGCTGAGCGTATCATACTCACAGCTGTGATTTGTTACAGAGAAAGGACACCTAGCAAAGGGGGACAGGTCCAGGGAAACCAGGCAGAGATCCCAGTGACAAGGCCTCTGTCCTGTGCAGTTGGGAGTCACACTGATAGCTGGCATTCACTAACTGCTTACTGCGTGAGTTGAGGTCCCCAAGACCCACCCCCAGGTTCGAAGAATTGCCGGGACTCCCAGGACTTAGCACAGAGTCGTGTTCATGGCTGTGATTCATTACAGAGAAAGAACACAAAGCACAGTCAGCAAAGGGAAAAGATGTGATGGAAGTCCAGAGGAAACCAGGTGTAAGATTCCAGGGTCCTCTCCCTGTGGAGTCACACAGGAGATGCTCAACTCCCCCAGCAATGAGTGTGACAGCATGTGTAAAGTGCTGTCTACCAGCGAGGCCCATTGGAGACTCAGTGCCCAGGGTTTGTATTGGGGCTGGTCACATAGGCGCTCTCTGCCCGGCACATACCAAAATTCCAGACTTCCTGAAGAAAAGCAGGTGTCAAGCACCAACCACATTGTTTGCACAAACAGTCTAGGCATGGGGAGCCGCTCTTACCATTTAGGGGATGGCAGGAACCCCTAAGGCCAGTCCCCTCACTGTGTCTGTTGCTGCAGGTCACTGGGATCCCCATGAACTGCTCTGTGAAGCTGCAGCTGAGCCTCTACATCAAGGCCATCAAGGGCATTGGGTGAGTGGCATCTTGGACCTGGGGCTGTGGTGCTCATTTAGAGTTCAGGGGCTCAGGACTTCTCATGGCCCAGACTCCGTGATCCCCAAGAATGAGGGTGTGGGGGAGACCATCAGGTGGATGTGGGTCTAGTCCTTGCCCAGCTCCCACAGTGGGCATCTTAGCTTGGGGCCCTGCCCCAGAACCACCTTTTCTCTCTTGACATTTCCCCAAAATGAGCCAAAATCTTCAACCCAAGTTGTTCCCCACTCAACAGAGTGGCAAAAATTAAAGTCTGACAAAACCAAGTGTTTGCAAACAGAAACTACCAAACAGCATCCCTAAGTGTGACTTTTCACTTGAGAAGAGGGATTTTAAAAGCACTAATTAAAACATTAAAAAAAAACAGCTTGAGATACATTCACATACCATAAAATGCAGTGTCTTTCAGTAACTATGTTGTGCCATCGTCACCACTATCTAGTTCCAGAACATTCTCATCACCCAAACAGAAACTCTGTACCTATCAGTCGTTATTCCCCATTCTCTCCTCCCCCAGCCCCTGGAAACCACTAATCCACTTCCTTTCTCTATGGATTTTCCTATTCTGGACATTTCTTACAATTGGAATCATCTATGTCCTTCTGTGATTAGCTCCTTTTATTTTCTTTCATTTGTTTTCAGTGTTCATCCATGTTGTAGCATGTCTCAGTAGTTCATTCCTTTTCATGACTGAATTATATTCCATTGCGTGGATAGACCACATTTTGTCTGTCCATTCATCAGCTGATGGACATTTGGGGTGTTTCCACCTTTTGGCTATTGTGAATAGTGCTGCTATGAACATTCATATACAACTTTTTGTCGGAACATCTGCTTTTATTTCTCTTGGGTATATACCTGGGAGTGGAATTGCTGGTCATGTGGTAACTCCATGGTAACTTTTTGAGGAACTTCCAGACTGTCTTCCACAGTGAGTGTACCATTTTGCATTCCTACGAGCAATGCATGAGGATTCCAGTGTCTCTACATCCTCCCCCGTACCTGTTATAACATCATATTCTGATAGAGAAGGTGGAGGTACACTGATTGATTATGTCAGTGTCTGTACTTGTTAGCATATTTGAAACAGTGTCATTAAAAAGACAAAACTTCCCCTAGGAAGATGCCTGGGCTGTAGGAATGTGAGTGTCTACCCAGCATTGTAAAACCTGCCTCTCAGCTGGAAAGAATAGCGCTTTGTCCGAGAATGGCGGGGGTAACAGCTGCAAACTTCTTTTTCTCCCTCCCACTCGTGCCTTTTGTTTTACATTTGAGGCTGCTCCAGGGAGTACTCTTGGGATCAGTGAGTGGTGAAATGAAACGAGGCGGGACGACGGGTTTGCACCCCAGTTTCTAACTCTGGTGCCGACAGTCACTTGGCACCTGGTCTGCCAACTCAGATGCCAGGAGGGTAACCTAGGAAAGGGAGCCAGGCAGGCTGGGGGATGAGGCCAAGGGTGCTGACCCTGCCCAGCGCCTGCCAGCTGTGGCCACATGGGAACACTAGCCTAGAGTGGCTCTGTGTTCTGCATTTGTCAGAAGGAGCTGGGAGTCTGGATGCTAACATGAACTCTCCCCATGATCCCTTGTGGGATGCTTATCCAAATTAAAAAAAAAAATTATTTATTTTGTTGTTGTTGAGAATGTACACAGCAAAACATAGCACCAATTCAACAGTTTCTACATGTACAATTCAATGACATTGATTACACTGAGTTATGCAACCATTCTCACCCTCCCTCTCTGAGTTCTCCCTCCCCGTTAACATAAACTCACTAATTCAAATTCTTGACAAACACTGTGCAAGCCAGCAGTTCACACAGGCTCTGAATTCTGCCTGTTTGTGGACCTGGTGTCCGTGGGCTGCTGCCTCTGCCTCCGTGGGCCTCTGAGTCCTCAGCTGTTCAGAATCGACCTCCCACGAGGGCTGGTGGTCTCAAGGGCAGGGGTCTCAACAGCAGGTGTGTCTTGCTATCTCCGGGGCTCAGGCTTGGGCCGGTGAGGGATGGCGTGGGAGAGCTCCGGAGGCTCAGCCACCTGGAAGCAGTAGCTGTTAAACTGTGATCTTCGGAGGAATTTTTGTATTGTTCGCTCACAAGACGAAGACAGCAGGAGTTGCAAGATGCTTGCATTTAATTTACATCAATCCTTACAAACTTGTTTAGAGAAAAGAGGCCCAAGTAAATGATGCCTTCCATGGCGCTTCTGAGCATTTATCATCTGTAGGTGGTACTGTGTGGACTCATTTCCCTCAGTGGGTGCCTGAGAGATCCTGCAGATAATCGTGATGGTGCGATTTGGCCCCCGAGTGAGTTTCATTTCCCAATGCACAGCTGAGCCATCCTTTAAGCAGACTCAAGAACGGGTGACTTCACCTCCCCGCTGTGCCAGCTCACATTTAAGCAGCCTTCCTAGATGCCCCACAGAACATGTCTGTGAACATCTCACTAAGCAGAACTTGATGGCACAGCTTTCCCTTGCTGCAAGGAGGCTGAGAAATAGTATTTTAGCTGGGTGCGTTGCCATCCTGCGTAGAACTGGGGCTCTGTTCCTAAAAGGGATGAATAGATGTAGGCAGGGGGGCAGTCCCTGCTGCATAGGAGATGTGTGCTTCAATTTAAAAAGAGAATGTCCCACTGTCGAATTGCTCCCTGCAAAGGGAGACTCCTGTCAGCACTGCATCAATATGTGTTTCCCAAGCTCTCACCAATCAAGCGGTTGCAGAATCAAACCCCGCCTGATCCCAGAGCTTACAACCCAGCAGACAGAGACAAAGAGAAATCCATGTGAAATTGTGCACTACAGATTACTAAGTAAACACAAGTAAGCCAGTGCGTACCTTCTTACTGTCAGACCGTGTGTATCCTGCTTACTGGTTAATCCACCCGTTACAAGCACATGTCCAAAGCCATCTGACTTAGAACATGGTGGCAAGGCCTCTCAGCTTCCTGTCTTTTGTCTCACTTATTTTCAGACAAACAGGGAGCATCAAACCCGTGGTCCTGCCCCTGCTTTGGTTTGGACAGGTAAGGTGCGCTTCTTCCTTCACCAGGTGCCTTCGGGCAGGTGTCGGGTACCTGTGGAGGAGCCAGTGGGGATTTGAGGCAGGGCGGGAATTGAGCAATCCATTAGAAACTTTTCACACTGTCCCGACACTTTGTCCGTTGTCCCATTGAGTTGAGAGGATCACTCGGTTTGGGGCAGACTGAGGAGCTGTATGAAAAGGTGAAGTCCCTGGCCCAGGGTGTAAAACACTTTTGTCAATGCTAGCAACCACTTCTGCTGAGAGAAGGAGAACTGGCTTTCATGGTGTCAGCTTTTCAGTTGAGCTTTCTTCACCGCCAGCTTCTCAGGTTTCCTCCTGGCCTAGCTCATTTCAAGTTGGGGTGAGCTAAAGATCAGACTCCCCGATCTCATTTACTTCCTGCTCGTATCGCAGTCTGATGTAGGTTGGTGGGGAGGCGGAGCTCTGCTCCACGCAGCCATTCACGGACCAGCAGGTCCCGCCCATCACATAGCCCCGCCCATCGTATGACCCGCCCCTCCGAGGTTCTCGGACCCCCCCCCAATCTCCACTCAAACGGAAGTTTTTATGGACCAGGTTTGGAGGGGGTGTACACGTCACTGCCCATACCCCATTGGCCAGAGCCAGATCACATGGCCTTGCCCGACTGCAAGAGAGTCTGGGAAATGTAGTCTCTCAGCGTGTGCTGGAGGAAAAGGAGGTGCGGGCTGTCTCCAGCACCGGCTTTGGGGAAGGTCTGAGGGCGGGGCCGAGGGCGGTGGTGGGGGTGGCCCCCAGCCCGCGGCCCCAGCCCATCGGTCGGCCGTTCTACCTCCGCAGAGTGGCACGATGGAGGGCCAGACCCTGCGAACCTTCTACACGCAGCTGGTGCTGTTGCCTGCAGTGCTGCACTACGCCCAGTACGTGCTCCTCGCCCTGGGATGCGCCCTGCTGCTGCTCATCCCCGTCGTCTGCCAGATCCGGAGCCAGGTAAGTGGTGCTGGAGCGCCGCCGGGGCCGGCGGCCTTTGCTCACCTGCTGGAGAGGGGGCCCGGACCCGATCTCCCAGCCTCCCCTTCCTTCTCTGCCGTCCCCGGGGCACTCTCAGCCTGGAGTCCTCTTGGGCAGCGGGCCGAGCCCTGGGCCCTCCGTCCCCTCGGCCTCTGCTTGTGTCGGGGAGCCTTCTCTCGCATTCTGCGCGGCCTCTTCTCTGCCTGTTCTGGGTGGCATGGGTACTCTCGCTTGGAGGGGCTGCAGGTGGATTTGGGGGAATGAGACCTGGTACTTCTCTGATTTGTTCATGGAGTGGAGTCAGCACCTGCTGTGTACCAGGCCTTGTGAACAAGACAAGCCTCTGCTGGGGGTGGGGACATGCTACTGGGGAGACACGAAAAACAAGTAAACGGAGACAGTCGTTTCACCCACTGATAATACAGGTGATAGAAACAGGATGGGCTAGAGTGGTGCTGTCTGTAGAAGTACAACCTGAGCCACATGTGTGATTTTAAGTTTCCTAGTAGCCACATTAAACAAAGTAAAGAAAGATAAATAAAGAGAAAACCCAAAACCAAACCCATCACGGTCGAGTCCATTCCAACTCATAGCAACTTTATAGGAGAGTAGAACTGCCCCATAGGGTTTCCAAGGAGCAACTGGTGGATTCGAACTGCCAATCTTTTGGTTAGCAGGTGAGCTCTTAACCACTGTGCCACCAGGGCTCCAATTCTGATCATGTATCTTATTTAACCCACATATATCCAAAAATATTACCATTTCAACATGAAATCAATATAAACAGCATAAATGAGATATTTTGAATTTTTCGGTATTAAGTTTTTGAAATCCAGTGTGTATTTTACACTTACAGCATGCCTCGATCCTGACCAGCCCCATTTCAAGGGCTTAATAGCCACATGGGGCTCATGGCAACCATACTGGACAGAACAGTGGCCAAGGGGGATGGGAACAAGTAGGAGTGTCAGGAAAGTCTTCTCTGAAAAGATAAAACTTAGATGTGACTGCTAAGGAGACCCTCAGCATAGAAGCCATGGAAAAGCGTTCTCCAAGCAGTGGGTATAGCCAGTGCAAAGGCCCTGAGGCAGAGGTGGGCATGGAGCACTGGAGGATGAGACAGAGGATCAGAGTGGCTGGACAGCAGTTAGCACAAGGGAGAGGGAGGTAGGAGGTGGTATCTGAGAGGGGAGCAGGGGAAGCTCTGCCAGGTCCTATACTGCAGGGTGAGGAGCTTGAAATTGATTCCAGGAGTGACTGGAAGATTTCAAGGAGGAGAATGGCTGCATTGCCTGCTGTGTGTAGAACAGGTCCAGGGTTAGGAGGGGTGTTGCTGGAGAAGAGCTCTGACGATCGAGCCCGGGGGCATACAACCTTTAGAGGCAGGAACAAAAGGGGGAGACAACAAATTCCCCTTCTTGATTTGAGGCCACTCATTCATTCATGGCATTCACTGACAATGCTTACCTGGCCGCTTATTTTTTGTGAAGCACTGTGCAAAATTTGGGGGATACAGAAGTGACTAGAACGTGAGGTCTGGAGACCAGTGGGCAGACAGACCTTTAAGCAAGTGGCTGTAGTCACAGTATGACAAGGGCTGTGATCAGGGGCTACTGTGTTAGGCAGGGGGTGGCCGCTCAGGGGCAGGAGTCGAGGAAGGCCAATTTCAAATGCAAGAACCAGTAAGCCATTGCAGGGCCCCACCGGAGTGTCCTGCAGCAGCAGGCGTGGCCTTCGCGCTGGACAGCTCTCTGCTTGTCTTCGAGCCATCTTCAAGCCTTCTTTCTTGCTTGGCTTTGCCAGACCAATCTCTTCTCTTTTCCCTCTTTCTTGGAGGAAGCTTACTCGCTTGCTTGCTTGCTTGCTTGCTTGCTTGCTTGCTTGCTTGCTGGGGCAATAACAAGCCTTTGTAGACTTTTAACCTCTACTTCTAGAACCTGAACTAGACTTCCCTTCCCAGTTCCCCCATCCTTTGGGGGAGAAGTTTCCATTAGATGAGGTTGCCAGGGCCCCACCAGCCCTAGCTCTGGTCACATCACTGCCTCTAGCGTTTGAGCCCCCGTGAACGTTCAGACCACCCGCCTGCCTGGGCACCTTCTCTCTGCCTCTGCCCCAGTGAGAACCAGGACGGAGCTGGGTGGAGCTGGTGAGCATGAGAGAGCCCCCTGTAGTTCTTGACTGGATTACGTGGGAGGGCAGAAGGGACCCGCTTCCCTGGGCACAACATCAGCATGGCTTTCCACTGGTGAGGACGCTTACACCCTCACATGGGAGCCCTGGGGACTGGCTGTGAAGGGGCTGGGCCAGAGTAAGGGGAGGCAAGACATTTTTGTCCTCTGGCCCCCTCTGTCTCTTTCCTAATCTTCCATCAAGAGAGGGAGGGAGCCCCAGGGGGAGAGGGAAGGAGCATGGGAAACAACCTGAAAACTCTAGCTAGGGTCCCCTTCCCATGCCTCACCCTCAGAGCAGTGTCCCACCCTGACTCCAGTAAGAACACTGTTATTTCCATTGATAATGTGGTTGACACTCCCCTTCTGCAAGTTTCACTGAGTCCAAGTGGCAGAAATTTATCTTACTAGGTTCTTTGGCTTAGTAGGGTTAACCCTTGCTGGTGGGTTTTTTTTGTTTGTTTGTTTGTTTTTTGCATTTGTCCTGATTAAAAAAAAAAAAAAAAGTATAAACTCCATTATGTATTTCACTTTCTGTCCTGTTCAAGCCATTCTTAAAAAAAAAAAAAAAAAAATTTTTTTTAACAGAAATCTCTGTTTCTGGTCAATTTAAAACACTACCTGCTCAGTGCCCAGCCAGCCCAACATGGCCCAGCTCTCCGCCTTGCTTCCTGTCTACAGCCTAAGTTCACAGGCAGACAGACCCTTTTAAGCTTGGCTTGACCGTCCATCCAAGCATGTTTCCTGAAGGTGCTTTTACTTCTGTGTGTGGTGAAGGGCAGCAGACCCCTAAATCTCAGCCGACTCCAATCACTACTGGCCGTTGGGCTCTGAAATTACGCTCCCTGCCTGTCTTCCCTTTGCTCTTTGAAAATCGAAGAACCGCGTAAAATGTTTTGTGCTTGGCTGCAATGTCAACTATAAATTAGCTTGGTTATCTTCTAGGAGAAATGCTATTTATTTTGGAGTAGTAGTAAAAAGGGCTCAAAGGATAAGGAGGCCATTCAGGCCTATTCCGAATCCCTGATGACCTCACCTCCCAAGGGGACTGTGCTGCAAGAAGCAAGGCTATAGGTGGGTACCAGGTAATGGCGCGTCCCCTCCTGTAGCGGGTAGAACCCTGGCAACTTGCAACACCTTGGATCCTATGCATTTCTTCAGCCTCGACTTCACCTGGAGTGTCTACAGACTTAAAACACATTGGTTTATTTTACGTTTGGAGAAATTGCCCTTCTTACATTCAGTGAATTTTATCCCAGGCGTGGTAGGAGATGGTGGGTGATACTTGTTCTGTGGGCTGGTATCTTATTTGCAAGGTTGTATTAGAAAGCATGTAAAACCCTGGCAGCGTAGTGGTTAAGAGCTACGGCTGCTAATGAAAAGGTTAGCAGTTGGAATCCACCAGCCGCTCCTTGGAAACTCTATAGGGCGGTTCTACTCTGTCCTATAGGGCCGCTATGAGTTGGAATTGACTCGAAGGCAACAGGTTTGCTTTTTTTTTATGGTTTGATTAGAAAGGTGAAGGAGCCCTGATGGCGCAGCGGTTAAGCACAGGGCTGCTAACTGAAGGGTTGGTGGTTCGAACTCATCAGTGGCACCACAGGAGAAAGATGTGGCAGTCTGCTTCCGTACAGATTACAGCCTTGGAAACCCAATGGGGCAGTTCTATTCTGTCCTATAGGCTCTCTAAGAGTCAGAATCGACTCAACAGCAACAAGTATTTAGAAAGGCAGGGTTCAAGGTTTTGACCAGGTGCTCCTCAAACCTCTTGTATAATTGACTTCTGGGGGATGTTTGCTAAAAATGTAGAACCCTGGCTAGGCTTCTAGAAGTCCTGGAATAGAATTGTGGGTGGGGCCCAGGAATCTGTGTTTTAATGGACCTCCTCAGGGATTCTAATGTAGATAGTCCAGGGACTCCCTTTTGAGAAACGTTGGTCCAAATTTGGGATGCCTGATGAAGAAGAAAGAATTTAGACATCAACTGAGCATCAACTGTGTACCCAAGACCTGGTGTGAGGGTAGGGTTGCCAGATTTGGTAAAAACCAAAAACAGCAAAAAATAAGGATGTCGAATTGAATTTTAATTTTGAGTAAACAACAGATATATATTTTTTAAATTTATTTTTAGTGGCAGTATATGAAGCCAAACATACATCCATTCGCAATTTCTACATGAACAGTTCAGTGACATTGGTTACATGCTTCACACTGTGTCACCTTCTCACTGTCTCTACTCTTATTGTTATATCACCATTAATATAGACTCTCTGCCCTTTCATATTTTCATCTGTTTTAGATTAACTGTTGTCAGTTTGAACTTACATAGATAATTCTTTCTAAAAGCAGAATGCTTAAGGCACACATTCTGTATTAGTTGAGCTAAACTGTTGTTTATTTTAACAGTGGCTTCATGGAATAGTTTTGGTTCAAGGCTTAAAGATTATTTCCGGGCAATACTTTAAGGGGTCTCCATAGTCTCAATGGATCCAGTAAGTCTGGCTTCCGTATGACTTTGAAGTTCTGTTCCACACTTTTCCACCTTTTGATCATAGACCCATCTGTTGATCAAAACGTTGAGTAATGGTAGCTGGGCACCATCCATTTCTTCTCATCTCATGGCAGAGGAGGTAGCAGTTCATGGAGGCAATTAGACTGCAGTCCATTTTCTTCTCTGATTCCCGGGTCTCCTTTCTCTGCTGTTCCAGGCAAATGGAGACCAATTATTGTATGTTTGGTGGCCGCTCACAAGCTTTGAAGACCCCAGGTGCTACTCATTGAGTGAGGAGGTAGAACAGAAAGTCTTAGAAGCAATGTTAGGCCCATGAAGCCATAACCCCAAACCTTTGAACCAAGAAAACTAATCCCATGAAGTGTTTGTTGTTGTGTGCCGTTGAGTCAATTCCGACTCATAGCAACCCTATATGACAGAGTAGAAGTGTCCTATAGGGTTTCCAAGACTGTATTCTGTATGGGAGCAGATTGACAGGTCTTTTCTTCCAAAGAGCAGCTGTTGAGTTCAAACCGAAGACCTTTTGGCTAGCAGCCAAGCACTTAACCATCGCACCACCAGGACTCCTATGAAATGTTTTGTTATAAGTAGTATTAACAAATGCAGCCTTTTTTTTTTTTTTGCTGCTACAACAAGTAATTTTTTAGTATAAGTTTATTTCATGCAGTATTTGTAGTATAAGTATGTTCCAAAGATTGCACAGGACATACTTCTACTAAAAAGTTATTCCTTGTTTATCTGAAACTGGAATTTAACTGGACACCCTGGTTTTCTCTGGCCAACCTTCCTTAGGGAGTAGGTGCCAGGGCTGGTGACGCTGGGGGTGCTCTCATTCCCGCCCTGTGTTTCTTTGGGTCTGAGGTCTTAAGAGAGCCGTGACCAGGGTGGTATCCTCCCAGGGAAGGTGACAGGCAGAGCCACAGGCCCTACGATTTGGGTTTGGGCTGGAAGAGTCATTTTACCACTGTGCCTCTGATAATAGCTGTTAATTTGGTTTCTGAAAAACGTGCCGCCCCCAAAAGCTTCTGTGGCCAGGTCTGCCTTGGGTGTAAGTAGTTTTCTTGGGAGCCGTGGAGCACGGGTATGAGGCAACAGGCCTGCTTTTTGGGGCCAGTTGGCGGCTGCCTGCTTGCTTCAACAGCCAGGGCAGGAGGGGAGATCAAGTGGAAAATGAGAAGTGGTGGGCAGAGGCGGGTTTGTATTGGCAGGCCCCATGGGGAGGGGGCCAGCTACACCCAGCCAGGCTCTGGGGAGACATCTGGGAGGGAGGGCCTGAGCACTAAGGCAACACGGCCCCATCTCGGTGGCAGGGTGTGCGGGCCGGAGAGGCATCCCCCTTTCCTTCCTGTCTTCCAAGAATTCCTCTGGGTGCCACGTCCTCGTGCACCATCTGATGCCATGAGCGCCCTGTCCCTTTCCAGCCACGAGCCCCTTCTGCGGACACTTGCTCGGCATTCTTGGGGTACAGGGCTGGGGGTCCTTGGGCATAGAACAGGGAATTCTTCATCTGTTCATCTGTTAGATGGGGTGGACGAGGGGGTGTTGAGAAAAGCCAGAGTCACTTTTAGCACACATAGAGCCGGTGGTTGTGAAGTCCCAGGCCAGCACCCCCGGAGGTGCCCCTCCCAGGACATAACCAGGATGTCCTGCCAGCCCCTCCTCCCAACAAGCTAAAAGGGGACCTCCTCTCTATTTTGCCAACAGACTGTAGTTTTCAAGTCATTAGGGAAGTGTTTGACTTAGGAAGTTCCCTGGCCTGCCTTCTGTGAGGTGGCTCGGCCCCCACTCCCATGCCCAGCCCCAGCCATCTGTCTTTGGGGAATGCAGTGTCCTTGGAAACCAGGCCCCTGGGAAGTGGCCATCGGTCAGGAAGACCAGGAATCCCTGCAGGGCTGCCTCCACCCGCCTGAGTCACATTCTTCGAAGTCTCAGGCCTAGGTCACTGGGGGAAGCCTCACACCTTCCCTGCACCTGGGGGTGGTCCAGAGGCACCTGGGCCACAGGGGATGCCCTGCTTGAGAAAAGTCATCAAACAGGTGTCCAAGAGCCCTGAAGCAAAGCGTATTTTTATGTGAATAAGAAAAGGCGGCCCCTCTGGGCAGTTCTAGCCTGCTCTAGGGCAGAAGGCTTGGGAAACAAGGTGCCAACTGGTTTCAGCCCCCTCTGCTGGGCACCCTTATGCAGCGAGCAGCCTGGACAACTGTACGTGGCAGCCCTTCCTTCAAGAAACTGTCCTGGCACTTTCTGACTTTCCCATTTGATCTCTCTCCCATTCCAAGTGCTCTTTCCTCAGTGGAAGGGTAGTGGACAGGAAGAGGAGGAGCCAGCTCCTTGTTCTTGCTCATCAGGACTTGTTAAATGTTTCATTCTTAGGGAGACCAGGAGTCCTTCCACAGCCTTTTCACCTTAGAGAGAGACTTTCTCACTCATGGCGACTTGGGCCCAGATTGCCAAGGTTCCGGCCACACCTGGGTGCCCAAGCTGCCTCGGTGTGTGATGGTGTGGGTGGGGAGGCCCCAGGCTTGAATCTGGCCGAGTCCCGGAGGCCTTGAGCGTGTCCCAGAGAGAGAGGAGCTGGCATGCCCCCAGCCCCAGCCCAGAGGGCGAAGCAGGCCCCTGGGGGTGGTGAAAGGCCACAGCTTTTGGGGCTTTTCCAACTACAGCTGCTGGGCCAGGGGGCCCCTCCCTCCTTTGGGGGCATGGACACAGGAGCTTAGAGAGGGCGAATAGGTACCCTAGAGTTATGATTGTTGTTATCTTTAATTTTTTTTTCGTTTGAGAAATTTAAAAAAATATAATTTTAGGTAAGTTATATCTGCATTCTCTCTTACCCAGAACCAGCAATTAATTGTACCTTCCGCCATACCTCTCTCCTTTTTCCTTCAGCTCCCTCTCCCCCCTGCCCTCTCCCTCCCCACCCCCGAGACGAAACATAGTCAAGAACTTGGTATACGTTTTCTTTTTTTCTAAATCTGTATATATGTGCCTACGAACAATAGACAATTTAATTTTTTTTTTTTTTACCTCAGTAGGGTCATACTCTAGCCAGCTGCCCCTCTTCAAGTTTGTGAGAACTGCCACATTCGATAGCCCTCTGTGAACATGTTTTTGAAATGGTCTCTGTTGGCAGGCAGTTAGGCTGCTTCTAGGTTTTCTGTTAACAGTATAGCGCACAAGCCCTGGACTCCTTGTTCTTCCTGTCTCTTGCCTGTATGAGGCAAGTCTCTCTGGCCTCAGTTTCCCCATCTCTGAAATGGAGTGGGGACCAGGGCAAGGTAGAGTTTGGCTAGATGAGGCGGCCCTTTCCAAACGTGTCTTCCCGGAGTCTGTAGGTCACTCCAGCCTTTGCTGTGCCATGTTGAGCTCGACAGATGGGCTCTGCTAACGGGGAGGGAGAGGGGAGGTTTCCACTCGGGGGAGATGTGGGTACAGGGACCAGGGTGGGCCGGGCATGAGGGTGGGCCTTGGCGAGCCGGTCCCGAGGTCCAGCGTCCCCTTTCTCCACAGGGCCCCGAAGATTCCACGAGCCAGTCCAGCCTGGTGGCTCAGCCAGACCAGCTCCCCAGCCCCTGCACCCCACTTCTAATGGACTCTGGAAGCAGACAGCCTGCCAGCCACAAAGCCTGAGCCCCCCAGTTTCCACACGTGTGTGCACATACCTTCACACATAAACGCCAGCTCCTGTAGACACACATACACAGGTGTGTGCAGACACACTCAGGGATGGAGCCGCTGCAGAGGGAACTCAACAACGAGCACTGTTCCAGAACTTTCTCTCCAAGTGACCCATAGGCCTCTGTTCCCCTGGCTCTGGTCACCACGTGCTGTGGGCGTTGCGTCCCTCCCTTGGGTGAGCATGGGAGGTCCCATCCAGCTGTTGGGCCCCAACTCTTTGTGACTCACGCCACCCCTCCCGAGACCCCCTCCCCTTGAGGCAGGAAACACTGCAGCGCCTGCATGGTGGCTCAGCCTTGCAGGGGCTTCCTACCCAGGGGCCGCGAGTGCAGACTTCCTGCGCTGAGGACGGCAAGTGCGTCCACTAATAGACCCCCCCAGGTGAAGCACCTGCGTACGGGCCTCCCCAAACCCTGTGGGCACAGGAGGTAGCGTGCTCCTGCTCCCAGTGTCTCCTCACCCCGGGCCAGAGTTTTCATCTCCTCAAAGTTGACTCAGGCTCTGGTTTTGGTGTCTGGGGCCCTTTTCCACCACTCTATAAACTGATGTCATCTTGGACACTGCTGGCCACACCCAGGCCGGGGCGGCAGCAGGCTCTGTCCTGAGATGCCTTGCCATGGGGTCCCTTGGCTTTTGGGTGCCAAGGCAAAGGCGGGGAGGCCTGCGGGGCCTCCACAGGGTGGGAGACCCCTCCGCCTGGTGCTTTTCATCTCTGGGGCAAGCTACTGTCTCTATTCTACTGGAAGAGAATTGAATTTTATTGTCTTTTAAAAATAACTCATGATTGAAGTAATAAACCTTTTTAAAAAGCTAACAGTCGAGTCTGTGACAACCTGTTTGCTGGGTGGGGTAGGTGGTGACGGGTTTCCTGGAGGATTCTAGGTTCTTCTTTTTCTTGTCAATAGCTCCTTTCTGGTGGCTGCCAAGAGCGTCTCCCACAGGGCTGGGCTGCAGACTTGCCATTCTTTTGTTTTACATTTTAAACTTTGTGTATACTTAAACTTTTATGTAAATACGGCATGAATACAGTCCTTGTTTCAAAGAGTAGGGCCCAAGTCCTCTGTGACCACTGCTCACAAATCTCTGGGTGCCATAGTAAGTACCCTTGTCAGTTCGGTGTGGAGCTGTCAGACGTTTTTCTGGGCGTTTGTATACACACCAGCTTCCTGTAGGAGGAACATGGTATTGGCATGGGCTTGTTCTTTGTCTTGTTACACAATTGACAGAAGAGAGACGTGGTTAGGAGAATGGACTGGAGCTAGATGGCCTGAGTTTGCATCCGGCCTCTTCCTCTTATTAGTTCTGTGATCTAGGGCAAGTCACATGCCTACTCTGTGCCTCAGCTTCCCCACTTCTAAAATCAAGATCATAGGACTGACCTCTCAGAGTGGTAATTGTGAGGAGCCGGTGAGTTTGTCCATGAAATGCTCTTAGACCGATATATAAGTTTATCATCATTAGTATTGTTATTATCATTGTTAATGATTCATCATCCTGCAACCTGATTTTTTTCTGCCTAAGCTGTCTTTGACATGGTTCCCTGGTAATACATGTTGAGCCACCCCTTTTTAACCAGAGGCTGTATTTCGAGGACCGGGACTTACCGCACTTTATTTACACTGCCCCCTATTGGTGGACGTCTAAGTAGCTTCCAGGTGTCCCCTGTTGCAAACACAGCTTTAGCCAACATTCCTTCCTTCATTCACTGGATATTGAGTCCCTGGGGCAGCGCCCGGCACCTGCTCTGTGTAGGCACTGCCCCAGGGGCTGGGATATGGCAGTGACCTAACCCTCCCTTCCCTGGCCTTCTAGGGTGAGTTTCTCTAGGGGATGTAAGGGAGGGGAATTACTAGGTCATTGAGTGTGCGGTTTTTAGCAGTCCCAGTGGACACTGCCAAATGACTCCAAACGCTGACTCCTAGGCATCCTGAGGGTCTCGTGTGCGGCTTTCCGGGCTCTCTCTCTCTCTCTCTCTCTGTGTGTGTGTGTGTGTGTGAATGAGTGAGAGTGATGGGAAGCAGTGCTCCACTCTCACTCACACTTGGCTGCTGAGAGGCAAGATTTCCATCCCATGAACCAAGGCCACTTATCCACAAAACCTAGGCCCCATAGTAATTTTAGGGGCGCACAAAATTGTTTTATTTTAAAATCAGAGGAAATAAAAATGAACTTTTAGGTCAAAGAAAATGTTTTTGTATATAACATTAATGTAGTCATCTTTATACCAATGCAGTTGTGGAATATATACATTTTTTAATATAGTAAATGGCCCACAAAGAGAAAAGTGCCAGGGCCCCCAAGAGTCTCGATGCTGCCCCGGCCCGTGGGCTTGATGGGGACAGGTGCGGCCCAGCCAGAGCTTAGACTATCTCCGCGCCCTTCCACGCGCATTAAGACTCTGTTCTTAGCCTGGTGGAAATTTGGCTCAAAACACGCTTTTCCGGGGTGAGGGGCTCAGATTGGATTCTCAGAGAAGTCCAAAACATCCTGTTCAGAGGCGCCGTGATGACGCAAGACGGAAGCGCTGTGAGACGCAGTGGGGCGCCGTGATGACGTCAGAGGTGCCAAGGTGACGCAAGAAACGCAGTGAAGACACTAGAGGCGGCATGATTCCTTGAGGTGCCTTGACGACACTGGAGGCATCGTGATGACTTAAGAAGCACGTGACGACTTAAGAGCCGCCGTGATGATGCAGGAGGCGCTGAAATGAGGTAAGAGGCTCGCGAAAGTCTCGGCGCTGAAGACGGACCTTCTGATTTCCGCTGGGCCCTGAGGCGCTGGCTCTGGGTCGGCTTTGTCGGGACCGGGTTCAGGGTTCCCCGCTGCCTAACGCTCACGGTCTTCCCGCCTTCGTGCTTGGCTGCTTCTCCCCAAGGGGTTTGTAAAGCCGCACACCTGCCCACACACTGCAACTGATGTGTACAAAATGGCTTATCGTGAGTTTAAGTACACAGTTGCAAAAGATGAAATTTCCCGCTTATTGTCACGGTTGATGTTTTAAAATAAAAGTTTCACTGCCGTCTTAAATGTGCCCAATGGGATCTAAATAAGATAGTGAGATGATACCCACCATCCTCCATTTAAAAAATACATGTATGAAGAAGCCTTTAATAGACATCTTATGCCTTTTTTCCTCTGGAACTTGTATTTTCTTCTCCCTTAGAATTTTATCTAAATGTTGTACATGTTATGTTTTAAAGTCTTTTATTAATCACCCTATTGTACTAATCTACAACATAAACTTGTGTATAAGCCGAAACGGACATTTTTATTATTTCTTGTGACTCTACAGATTTAAAATTTTTTTGGGTCAGTATCACCATTTAACTATAGGTACCCAATTGATGAGAACAACATCAGTGTTTTATTTTTTTATGTATCAAACAAAATTTTATTGGGATGCATCACCTTTTTATATGTATTTTTTATGTATGTTTTAATTTTCATAGAGTAAAATGGATATGTGTCTGTGCCTACACGCACACTCAGTTATATGAGTTTGAACACGTGTATAGATTCAAGCAACTGTCGCCACAATCAGGTTACAGAGCAGTTCCATCATCCCCCAAAATTTCCTCATGCTTCCCCTTTGTAGTGAAAGCCTCCCCCAACACCTAACCTCTGGCAAGCGTTCATCAGTTCTTAGTCACTGTAATTTTGCCTTTCCAGAAAGTCATGTAAATGGAGTCATACGGTATGTAACCTTCTGACGCTAGCTTCTTTCACTCGTCATGTCTTTAAGATTCATCCATGTCGCAGCGTGTATCAGTACTTCATTCCTTTTTATGACTGAATAATATTCCACGGTATGAATATATCACATGTCGATTAGCCACCCATTCAAAATGAGCCCTGGTGGTGCAGTGGTTATGTGCTTGGCTGCTAACCAAAAGATCGACTGTTCCAGTCCCATAAAACCAAATGGGACTAATGAGGCACAGCAGTCCAGGGACAAGGGCCAGAAGGCAGAAGGGGACAGGAAAGCTGGTGATAGGGAACCCAGGGTTGAGTAAGGATAGTGTTGATGTGTTGTGAGGTTGTTAACCATTGTCATAGGGCAACATGTGTACTAACTGTTAAATGAGAAACTATTTTGTTCTGTAAGCCTTCATCTAAAGTGAGAATACCAGCACAGTTGGAAGAGCGTAGTTGATGTCACTGAACTGTGCATGTCGAAATTTTTGAAATGGTGTATCTTTGGCTATGTATATTTTCACAAAAAAAAAAAAAAAAAAAGGTCGAGAAGGGAGAGGGTTGACATGGTGTGGGGTTGTTAACCAATGTCATAAAACGATTTGTGTACTACTGTTTCATGAGAAACTATTTGTTCTGTAAGCCTTCACCTGAAGTACAATTAAAAAAAAAAAAAGACCCCCCCAAAAAAAACAAACAACAAAAGATCGGCTGTTCCAACCCACCAGCTGCTCCGTAGGAGAAAAGACCTGGCGGTCTGCTTCAGTAAAAATTTACAGCCTTGGAAACCCTATGGGGCAGTTCCACTCTGTCTTCTAGAGTCACTGTGGGTTGGAATCGACTTGACTACAGTAGGTTTGGTTTGGCTTTTTTATCCATCAGTTGATGGGCGTTTGGATTGTTTCCACTCTTTGGCTATTATGAATGGTGCTGCTGTGAACAGCTGTGTACAGGTTTTTGTGAATAAGGCTTCCTTTCTCTTGGGTATGTATCTAGGGAGTGGGATGGCTGAGTCATTTGGTAACTCCATGTTTCGCTTCTGGAGGAACTGCCAAACTGTTTTCATAGTTGTACCATTCTGCATTTCTACCAGCAGTGTTTGAGAGTTTCACTTGTTTTGCATACTCGCCAGCTCCTTGATATTTTCAGTTTAAAAAAAATTTTTCTTACTCATTCTGAAAGATTCATAGTGGTATCACATTGTGGTTTTTATTTGCATGGAAATGCATCTCTTAATGAGATCCCTGGGACTTTCCCTC